CCTGTTTGAGTTACGTAATAAGTTGCATTATCGTGCTTAGTGATGTAATGAGAGCTCATTACGTAACTAATTTTTATCGAAAAATTGCACTTTTTAAAATTCATTAATCAAAAATTATAAATATAATCTTTTGTGAAACATTAAAACCATCTCGAATATATGAAAAAAATCTGGGTCGTACATAAAATGTTGTATAACACACGTGCGGTAACGCTCATTACACAACTCGTGTGATTGCCACGACTCGGTCTACGACCTCGTCTTGGCAATATTTCCCACTCGTTACTGTTATGAAGCTCATACCGCACTAGTAATATAAATAACTATTACATACCTACTAGTTACTACAAAAATAAATACAACGTGTAATTAAATAAGGTCATTCGGGCATGTGTTTAGGCGCTTTATAGTTCTTACTCTAAGGAAAAGGAAAATGTGTAATAGTCTGGCAACATTGTAAACGATTTTACCAGGAATGGACGAATACTATAGACAGGGCCACCCAGGCGCCCACGCGCATGGCAACCCGAGGATATTTAAGTTGTATAAGTGTTTTATAATAATGTCTTGTACCCTCGAAATCAAGTATTCTATAAACCATTTTTATAGGATGTTCTCTTAAGCCAATTTAGAGTTAAATAAGTTTGCGACTTAATGTTTTTATTGAAGTTAGCTATATGATAACATAATAAATCTTCAATAAAAATATTTTGTAACTATCTTATACGTTCTTTTGAAAACTGTAATAAGATAACAATAAAACAAATTACACTTAATAGTGATTGGTCATATGAATTGGCATTATAGTAGCTATGTTATAAGACCTAAGTTTTTTATATTTTATAAAAGACTATGGAATAATCTTATAGAAAGCTTTATTACACAATTAAAACACATTTTTGTCTCTGAGATACTTTTGTTTTAACTATGGTCACTATATGATAAAATTGTGTATGGAGGACCCTAATATATCAGTTATATAGCATTTTAACTATTGAGGTACAATCTGTGCTAGTTGGGTTGTAAACATATAAAACAATTGTTGCCTCAATTTCTTGATATTTGCTGCCATCCAACAGGTCTTAAAAGAATAAATATTTTTATTCGCTAACATTTTGGACGAATTTTTACTTGTATACAGGGTGTTCCCAAATCAATAACCCAGTGAATGTGTAGTCTCCTTTGAATTTCGCAATTTAATAAAGGAAGGTATTTAATTTGTTCATTTTGTAAAACCGATCATACAGTAAGTGGCATCATCTAAAAAGCATATGATTTGGGAACATCCTGTACACAAGTAAAAATTCGTCCAAAATGTTAGCAAGTAGAAATAATTATTCTTTTAGGACCTGTTGATGGCAGCAAATATCAAGAAATTGAGGAAATACTTGTTTTATAGGTTTACAAATTATGACGAAACTTTGTTAAAAAATAGATGTCAAAAAAAACCTCGAAAATGTTTTCTGGAATTATATTGCAGAAGTGATATAAAGCTTTCAAAGTAACTCAAAATTTATTTTCCGTCCTTGCACACTTTATTTTCTGTAGAAAACGGCAAAATTATGCAAAACTAGAAATTTCAAGTAATCGCGCACACCCTGTATGTTTTGTATAAAGCTTTTTTTTTACGTCAGTTAATTTTAATTATGATCATAGCAAGTAAATTTGAACTAGCGGACTCTAAGTTACTGCTTAAACTTGTTCCCGATGGGTTTGAAGCTCTGGGTTTACATTATAACACTAAATTTGCATTAGATATTTTTTAAACAAAAAAAGATCGAGTATGCCTATAAAAAATAACTGAAAATAATAATTGTAGAAATGGGGTGGCAACAAAAATTTTGAATTTTTGCCGCACTTCCTATATCACCCTGTATAAAAAATACACTCAAATTCTATTGGGATTTCAAGATAAGTGATACTCTATCTGGCGGCAAATTATGGAACTAGTTTGTAGTACATTGTCGTTTGTTATTGTATTGTTTACCATTGTGTTTTTGTGAATATTTTTGAAGTATTTTTAAATTTTTAAAGCGTGTTGGAGCAATATATAAAATGTGTAAATTATATCAGATACATTCAATCATGACCTCAAATCACTACTGTTGTGTTCCTCAGTGCAAGTTTTGGGCCAAAAAAGATGCTAAAAGGGTTGAGTTTCCACATATTTCCCCTTGAAACAGGCCTACGGGTTTATCTGGAAATGAAGATGGGAAAATAGTTAGAATGGAGAAGAAAAGCCTGGATTTTAAAACTTCGTATTAGCAAACCAGTCATCAAATTTATGAAAGTGTATTTCTCTGCATTTCAAGCAAGAAGTTTGTGTTAAGGTAAACAAACATAATAGATATTTTTGTGTCCTAGCTTCCTTTTACGACTGCTGCTAGGCATTGATTAAGAACCTATTATCTATTTTTGAAATGTTTTGTTTGAAAACAGGTAAAGGTCAGATGACAGATATTGAAAAAAACAGCTGAACCATCCCAGAATTTGCCCTATTCTACAGTGATCCATAAACCCAGCCAAAAAACAGATTCCATGTGTGCTGAAAGACCTGCCAAAAGAAAAAGAAATCAAGATTCTAGTGAGAGCGGTTCAAGTAATGAATGTAATGGTACTTGTATTCAATTATTAAACTCTTTTGAGACAAACATAAAAATGGACGAGCAAACAGCAGAAAGTGTCAAGTTTTTATTAAATTCTAATTACCAGTATTATAGGCAGGTTTGTGGTCAAGTTATTTGACTTTGTTAATTCAATATTTACCTATTTATAAATAAAAATAAAGAGTTATTTATGGAATATTTATTTATTTATTGCACATACAAGTTATTCAAATACAGACATTATAAGGGACATCTGCCTTGACCCTTTTGGCAATGTCCTATAGTGGAAAATTTTAGGAAAAAGATCCGTTTAGGCTGTTGTATGGATATGACCATTCCGTGTCAGGTAAGCGCAATAGATTATATTGAATTTTCGCCTGCATCAGGAGCCATAAAGCCCATAAACACAAGACAAACATTCAAGCTAATGTAAATCATATGCAAATTAAATTAAAAATAAAAGTGAGGTTATGAATTAATGTACTAGAAAGTAGTTGAGCTATTCGCCACCGCGGCGCTACAATCTTAATTTGAAATCCCAATATTTTTTTGTGTAAAGCAGATGATTAACAAGGAATCGCTTTAAGAAATGGTGAAAACGGCATGTTTTTCCGTTAACTTATAAAAAAGTTGTCGCGTATCAAAAATTGGTGAAATTTTGGCTTATGGAACGAACCTATTGTTGAGTAGTTTAGTTGGACAATTTTTCCGTTGCGTGCCTAAAAGACGTTCATTTCCTAACTTATTGTATAAATAGCTATTATTGAGTTGGATCATTTTCTCAATTTCTTGCAGCAAGAGTCGACTCACCGATCCATCCATTCCATTCAGTTTTGGAGAATTTTGATAGTTCTACTATCAGAAGGAAAACCTTGTAACAGATAATTAACCTCCTGGTTAAGCTTTTATTTGGTTCTACCATATTTGAAATTTTGGGTCTTGACCTGGAATTTTTTGACTTATTCCATGTATGAAGAAACGTACTTTTAAATTGAGATATTTTTTTTTATTATAAACTTTGACGTAGGTACTTAACTTTTTTTTGGTTAGTCTCAAGACTTTTTTATAATAACAAAATTGTCAAGCATTTATCGATCTAGAATTCTGTCCTCTTAGCATTTTTTGATATTCCTGCTCGTTTATGAGTAATTAAAAAAAAAAATACAATTTTTTCGGAAAAAAAAACAATAATTCTTGGAGGGTTCCCTCAAGTGGAGGAGTGGGGACTTTTGGTATGTGAATCTGAAGGACAAATGCTGAACATTCCCGCAATAGTTAGCTTTAGGTGATTTTGTTCCGGATTTACTTCATAAAGCTTCATATCGTCTCTGGAATATACATGCTACCTGTATTCTGAACCTTACAACATATCTACAAAATTTCATACAGAAGAAATGCAGAGTCAGTATAAAAATAAAACTCATGATGAAAAAAAAAAAAGATAATTGAAACTAATGACTAAATAGACCAGCATCTCTCCGGCGAAAAAATTGTTCAAACAAACGAGAACACTATTATAAAATAAATCGAATATCGAATATTTAATAGCCAATAAATTATGACTATCGATTCGAAGGATAATCCTGAAATGCTTAATAGAGCAAATTGTGCAAGTTTAGAGAGAAGCCATTTAAAAATGTGTGTGTAGATAAAACAACTAAAGGGATAAAGCGGAATCCAAACACCTGAAGGCCTAAGTTCAAATAGAAATTCGTTTTTAAGCCAAATAGAGCATTGCATGATTCAAAAGAAAAGTGCTGAATAATCGATAAAGCTTCAATTGATTCAGGCTACCTATGGAGTCCCTTAAAACTGAAAAATTAATTTCAGTTCTCAAAATATGGCAAGTTTGTATAATTTTTATGATGAATTTGAGTAGAAAAAAATATGTTTCGATTGTATGCCTTTTATCGGCTCTGGTACAAAGTATAGTATATTTAAAAAAATAGCGCAGAAAAAAAACGGCTGAATCGCATGAACAAAAGAGCATTGGGGAGAAAAATAGTGAGATTATCATGATTAAAGAAATGCCAACTAATCCAAAATACTTTTTGACATCTAATGCAACTATGTACGTATTTGCAAAATGTTCGACTAGTTTTCAATGGGTGGATTGTTAATTTTGGGCACTATGATGAGTTTGATCAAATTTCTTTAATTAGGAATGTTTGTCGTTTGCTGTTCTTATCTAAATTTACAAGTAGTTTTTTATTGATACTTATGCACTTTTTGAAAAAAAAATCACAAGTGCCTTTTTGCATTTTTTAAATACATAATTGATAAATTTAGTATCGGCTGAATCAATTGAACCTGTTCTTTAATGGTTCTATTCTAAATATGTGAGAATGTTTTTATTTATATCTTCGACAAGATACAGCGTTTCTTAATGATTACCTGACATTTTCCAAAGCGATTTTCTTCTCCAATTCCCTCACTCGTGACTGACGTGCTTCCAGCGTGTCAGGTCCGCACCCGGCTAGAACGGTGAGGGCTTCTTGATGTTGGCGTTCCAGATCGGCCCGGCGCGCCTCCGCGGCTCGTAGTTGCATTTCGAGGTCCATGGCCTAGAAAAAAGTGAATTACGTTTATAAAAAGAAAATCGAAAGAAGAAAAAAGAAATATTTATCTCGAAAAAATATGGTTATTTCTGAAAAGGATCCACATTAAGTCGGTTCTTCTAACCGCTCGAAAATTCCACCATTTTTAGTTTGGTGATTTCTGCTGGGGGAGTACGAAACTCGATCACGAAACAATCAAATAATCGAGTCCTATAATTTTGTGAGTGATATTTCGATCGATTTGCAAATTTTCATCGATTGATCGAGTTTTGTGTTTCCCCAGCTGATGTCCCATGTCCCTATCAGTATTATTCATAAAATTAATTCTTAATGATAATTAGACCAAGAAGTAGAAGAGAATGACTTCTATATATACAGGGTTGTCGTTATTGTATATATATTTATCGCCTATCGGAATATAACGTTCTACGTCTTCCTGTTCCCGATCACCCGATCTCCAACCCAGGCATCCTCCTCCGAACGTCGGGGGAAGCAACATATTGCCAACCCTACATGGGACCACGGTCTATAACCAAATTCAATACACTGAACCACGGGTTAAAACAAATAACTGCAACTAAGCAAGAAAAGACAACCAGACTAATTGGCGGATCTCGTAATACCTGGTGTGCGCGCGCAACTCGTGGGTTGCAGGTGAGCGTCCAATGAAAATCGAGTTTTTTACGGGTTTGCGTCATATTCGTATTCAGGGACGAGTTCAGAATTAATCGTTCCTTCTTTCTTTGAAACGTGAAATTAGACAAAGAACAAACTAATACTTTACGTATTACTTGAACTTATTGCAGTGTCGTTTAAGGTTATGTTAGATTATACTTGACATATTCCTTGGCAATTTCATTGAGCGATGTTGCCGGATGAAATATTTATCAAAATAAAAGTCCCATCAATGTTAACATACACTTTAAAGTTCTTATTTTGTCTGATTTAAGGCGTTGTAACACACTAAAACAATATATCATTTCTTTAATGTTATAATGTTCGATTTTTATTGTCTACATTTGTTCTGCAACAATACAATCTGGCTACATTGCAGCCACAGATTGCGCGCGCATGTCATTTTTTATTACTTTTTAACTTGTATTTATTACAATTAAGCCCTCTTTTTCTATTTCTGCGAGACACGTCAATTTAATCTAATTATAGTCAGCAAATATTGGATATAAAAGCCCGGGCCACACTATTGCAAATTAGTCGTGTCTCAGCGCTTTTCTGTATCAGTAGGTGTTTAGACACGTCTCAAAAGTCGGAAGCTATCTGGCCGAATAGGGATTGCGCATCGTATCTCTGTTCGAGCAGATTTCAACTTACGACCCAGACTCTGTGAGCCGTTTCTCAGCGCTTTTCTGTATCAGTAGGCGTCTTAGATACGTCTCAAAGTTGGGAGCTATATGGCCGAATAGGGATTGCGTATCGTATCTCTGTTCGAGCAGATCTCAACTGATGACCCAGACTCTGCGCTACAGTCACGGGTGTACCCAATTCCGCCATATTGTGAATGTTCTTCTGTCTGAAATTCTGTCACTTTTGTCATAGCAACGCGACAGTAATGCCTCAGGGCCGCATTTTCCATCCGAAGATGCTTTAAATGCGAAAAACTTTTGAAGCGCAAAATTTCTATTTTGGGTCTTAGAAGCCGTTCTACACGGCAAAGTTTCTTCACGAAATTACTAACGAAATTGTTGCCGAAATATTTCGTAAGTCAACTTTTCCTGTTTTACACGACAAGAAAAACTTACGAAATATTTCGCCAATAAACTTTTGAAAATGTTCTATAGTTTTTGTGGGCGCGGCCGAGAAAATACGTGAGTTTCGGCGCACACAATTACAAAATAAAAGGCGCATTCTTTTTCTTCGAGCCTTATGAATCTGCCATTGGATTTCCTATGTAATAGATAAAGATAGACTGCTTATCGGTGGGTAACCGGACAAAAAAAGTGTTGCGCCCAAAAAAATAATGTGCGAGGGAGAAGACCAGCTGGGCAAAGCCAAAAGTAAACAAAACTTTTATTTATGGGAGGGAAACAGAAATTCAACTTTATGAAACTGCAGAAGAGTACAAAGATTCAACAAAAATTAGAAAACGCAAGTTTTATTTGTTTTGGTTTCCAACGTATGAAGTTATGATTTCATATTATTGATGCCAAAACGTTACAGCGCCGGCGTATGACCAATGACCTATTAACACAGTGTGTTAATAGGTCATTGCGTATGACTAATATTTTCACGAAACTTTTGCTAAATTTCATTTGTCGTGTCAAACAGGTACGAAGCGAAACAAGAATAGTGAACTTACGAAATATTTCGGCAATAATTTCGTGAATAATTTCGTGAAGAAATGTTGCCGTGTAAAACGGCTCTTAGAAGGATCTTCTGTTTCAGTATGTTGAAGTTTCTGTAGCAACTTTTTCTTTCTTGGCGTAAAGTAGATTTTTTACTTTTTTAGCTGAAAATTATAAAGAATTTATTTAGTTCGGCTCTGTATGAGTAGCCATATTGTTAGTGTCTTTAGCCACGCCCACCGATATCGTTTTTATTCTACTACATGGGCGCCCACAGGGAGGGTCAGGGGGGGTCACTCGACCCCCCCTGGAAATTTCTTAAGTTTTAATTATTTTCCTTGAATAAAAAATATTGAAATTTCTGATATTACTTGAACTATGATCTCGGACCGACTTTGCGACTTTATTTTTATTAAAATAGAAAACGTGAATGTATAGTCTGGCAAGTGGAAAGTTGATAGAGACGAAAGGAGGAAGAAAAGTGGGGCCTAACCTAAGAATATTCATTGACACCTCAACTGACACTGCTTGATGACAGCCATGTCTTTGGGTTCAGTGGCACCGAAAACACCAAGGAAATGAGCCAATAAAATTATTATTTTTTTTTTTTGTAAGTTTCGCCAATAACCACGCCACTGTGCTGTCGTTCAGGCTCTAACCTTAGCCTCTAATCAATAGAATCATGCCTCTGAATAATCCCGCCTCTTCACATCCATTATTTCGCAATGTTGCCGGATTTTTTTCTAATTCAAAATACTACACATTCCCATATAGCAAAAAAAATATGCCACCAACTTGTTTATTACTGTTTCCGTCAAGTTTGGCAAAGCAGCAAATTATTTTCCAGTTCGCCGTTTCGCTAGCCAGACAAAGGGTGGTATGAATAAAAACGAAGTACTTGTACAATATATCCGAATAGAAAAATGGAACGGAACGTACCCTAGCCACCAATGCCCCCCGCACCATATTAGGCAATTCAAACCACGTGACATTCAAGATGGCGTGGCGGCCACACATGGACTAAAAAACACAAAAAAATATCTAGTTTCTGCCCGAATTAATAGTTTAGGTACCTAGTCAACAAATATTTTATTAAATGATGAAAATCAAAGTTGTAAGCAAAACTGTATGCGAAATAATTTAAAATAAGCATGAAAACATATTCAAAACATACTTGCTTGGCCGCCACGCCATATTGAATTTTCCTTTTTGACAGATGGATTGAATCTTAAGACAAAAAATTCTATCAAGATCTCAAATACGTATCGGGGGAATTGGACGAGGAACCAAAATGAGGCACCCCATCTCACCCCTTAGAGCAGCGGTTCCCAAACTGGGGGGCGCGCCCCCCTGGGGGGGGCGTGAAGCAACATTGAGGGGGGCGTAAGTCTTCTAAACAATTAATACAAATTTAAGCTGAAAAATTAAGGGCCATATTCTCCGTAGTTCATAAAGCCTGGCTTAGTGGAAAAGCTCGGCTTTGTCACACAAAAAGCCAAGTGCTTCCACTAAGCCAGGCTTTATGAACTACGGAGAATATGGCCCTAAAAATCAGGTAAAATTTTAAAAAAGATGTCTACAATCCTACAACAGCGCATACATAAGCCAAAGCAGCTTTTCCATGCGATCTGTTACCGTAAAACGGGGTGGCTTGAAACATAAGGGGCCGCTTGAAAAATTACGTTTTTTCATTTAAAATATTGTGCCGCCATCTGGGTGTTGAAGTTGGAACTCCGTAAATCCCAGAGCGCACGTGCAGCATGCTATGAGTGACCGCCCGGCGGTTTTAGTTCATCCTTGGCCGTTCGCGCTGGCGCACCTGAGTGGTTGAGTTTTTGGTGCGAAAACGACTGATTTTTAAGGCTGAATACTTCCAAGTGGTGCAGGTAAGAGGAATATTTCTAGGTGGCGTCAAATTAATTTTGGTATGCCTACTTATTAGGCTTGAAGGGTATAGTAATATATCAATGATAGTTTGCATCGTTTACAAATGGCGGCCTCATTTATTTTTTTTTGTCATTCCAGGGGCGACTTGAAAAATGGTCCGTAATTATGTAAGACGGGCTGGGAGCAGAAAATACCGGGATTATTCCGAAGAACACCTGCTGGAAGCTGTAGAAAGGTGCAGGAGGGGCGAAAACATGAGGGAGGTCGGCGAAGCGTACAATATCCCATACATTACATTGTACCGGAAAATTAGGAACCTCCACACTAAAAAACCAGGGGGACAGACTGCTCTACCAGACGTCGAAGAACAAGCGATTGTTCAGTGTATTGTTACGGCTGCAGACTGGGGATTTCCTATGGATAGCCTGGACATCAAATTGCTAGTTGAAAATTATTTGAACCAGAAGGGTATCGTCCAGCCGCAATTTGTGAACAATAAACCTGGTGAAGGGTGGATGAGTCGATTTCTACAGCGTCATTCTGAACAGGTATCAGCAAGAATGTCGCAAGCAATCAAAGAAAGCAGGGCGAAGGTAAGCCACCTAACTATTAACAAATATTTCGATCACCTCGCTCAATCTTTAAAAGGTATTCCTCCTGAGGCAGTCGTGAATTATGATGAAACAAATTTTACGGACGACCCGGGACGTAAAAAAGTTGTTGTTCGAAGAGCTAGCAAAAGAGCTGAACATATTATGGATACATCGAAAGCTGCCACATCTGTCATGTTCTCATGTTCTGCCTCCGGAAATTTACTAC